GGGCCCTCTTTTTCAGGTGATATTTGAATAACTTTTGTCATGCTATTTAAAGGATCTCTTTTGCAGAGATATCTGATTTATCTTTTTTTCTAGGTAATACTTGAGTATCTATGAGATATTTTACCTGGAATTATCTTTTTTAGGACTCTGCATTCTTGAAATTGTTAATTAAACTTTTACGAACGTTTGTTTATTCATAAAATTAACACACACTCTATCTCAACCAAATTCGGGATTATAAGGAGCAGTTTTGTTTGCTGAAGTAAATCAGATCTTTTACCAAAGGCCCTCTAAATACCTACACGAACAATATATTTTTTTACAAACAAATATCTTGCTTCTCCAGCTTCAGGTATGGTTTAAGCTTGAGAATGTCCACTTAATGAGAATGTATTGTAGTCAAACCACCACCTTACATTCAGTAAGTAACTTATTTTATAGTTATATCATGGTTGATTCTTCGACTAATATACATTTTAAAATCATTTTGATTATTGAATATGAACGATTTACTAGTATTTAGAATAATTCAAGAACATTTTCAAGCTTGCGTATGGACGTTATTTCAGAGCGATAATCTCACGCAGCAGTGATAAAGCAATGTGTTGTTTCAAATTTCTTTATTCTTGAATATCTCCTATCTATTCGAAGCTTCAGAAGCTTGTCAGGAAACTTGACGTAAAAACTTTTAGAAATTTCTAGGTGATCTAGACCTATTTGATATTAACGTTATCATTATGACTCCTAGCTCCCTCTGTTAAAAGCAAATTACAACAATACAAATAAAGCTTATAACAATACATTGATAGGCCCTAACACGCCTAGTAGCTAGGGCGTTTGACTCATAATTTGCTGCTCGCGGGTTCATATCTCGTCACGAGCGCTGTTTGTGTCATAATATGACGGTTAATCCCATTTTTCGTTGGTAAAAGAGTAGAACAAGAGTTAACGGTGGGTGGTATTGACTAGCTGCCTTTCCTCTAGTCTATTACTTCAAAATTAGGAACGACTAATGCATATAGCTTTCGAGTAGTTTTTCGCAAATTTCAACAAAGAAAACTATTTTTAGTCGGTAGAGTTATTCAGTCAGTGTGTTTTCGTTTTTAGTGACGCATTTTGGTCTTTGCTAATTATCGTGTATTTTGAATTGTTTTGTAGAAGTAAGTTTATTTTTACGTTAGTGTATACAGTTAGCGTAGCTGAAAATGAGTCATACAAGTTACAATATTGTACAAGCTTTTAAGAATGTTAATGAAGAAATAAACTAATTTGTTATCGTTAGGTGGATTGGACTTTGAAATATTTTCACCAGGTAATTGAAAAGAATCTGCCAATGAAAAACAATGTTACAGCGATATCATAATTTGCAATAATAATAGTTTGATTTTTTCCCTTACTTCTTGTTGCTGCCTCTTATTCAAAATTCAGTAAAGAAAAATTAATCCGTGAATTCAGGATAATTAAAAACAGAAAATCCGTTGATGGCGAACCTTTAAACTCAAGAGTCAAAATTCAAAGAGAAAGTTTGGAAAGATTTAAACTTCCCAATAAAGCTTTTCATAAACGTAAAATCGAGTATAATGCTTGGATTTAAAAAATTACATAATCACACTGTTATGGTTACCCAACCTTGTCAGAGATTAGCATTTTTTTTCTGTAGAGCAAGCAGGTAAAATGAGTAAAATACTTAAGTAGTGAAATTAGGCTAAAACATTATTAATAATTTTAAAATGTGTTACTATTTAGCTAGTCTGTACATCATAATATACAAGTTAAACAGATTATGCCACTTGCTTTAAATTAATGTAGCATCATTTAGTGAAAGGTCTTTTAGATTCTCCTTCTTATCTTATAGCAGAGGCTGATATGTTTATTTCAACTCTTTTTTTTTTATAAAAAGCCACGAAAGTTACACCTTATGAGCCAATCAACTCTATTGGCTGCTTTTTTCTGGCTAAAATACCCATCTCGTTTATCTCAATATAGCCTCTAACTTTGTTTTCTACAACCTGTTGAACATTAGTCTGGAGTCTCACCCTGCTTCCAAAATGGCAGCTGCGCATCATAATCCTCTATTTGACTCTGTTGTTTCTCATCCTCTTATCTCGACTATACAAACAAAGATTATTTACTCTATTTTAATTCATCTTTCAATGATTATATACTACTTATAAATTTGTTTCAAGCTTGCTCATTACATCTTTAATGATCAACAGATCACTTAATTAATTTCCATAACGTGCAATATTTCATATGATTTGATTGAATTTAATTATTTTGATCCTAACATTTCAGGTTTTTAATCCTACCATTATGTTGTATTAAAAGACAAATTTTATGACGTATCTGGCAAACTGCTTCATACCATATTCCTTGACATGACGTTGATTGCGGTTTTTCAACTCCAAACATACGGTTCTCTTGTATTCTGAGTGACTAAAAACTACCTCACTAGCAATTGCTAGTGGATTAACACTTTAGCTCAATTGATGAACCACACTCTGGTGTGAGATAGTCTTCAGGCTCAAACTTGGGACAAAAATATTTAGAAAATCTAGATTACCATAGTATGTTTTCATCTGATACTGGTATCTGTTCTCTAAATAGTCAGATATTAACAACAGAAGTAAATTCTCATGTTGACAGCATAACTACCTTTAAAATTATATAAACTGGTTTGTTACCAATTGTGTGGATTATCCTCGCCATATATAACACAACACAGAGTATTACTTTCCCGCTATTTTTACAGGAAGATATATTTTGAAGCCTGGCATAGCCTGTTGGTTAGGACACTCGACTCTCAATCTGCGGGTTGCGAGTTCGAATCCAGTCATCGAACACGAGCATCTTTTCAGCAGCGTGGACGTTATAAGTGACGTTATAAGTGATTATAAGAAGAATAGCACAAGAGTTAGCGGTTGGT